TGGGGGGGATGCACCCTTCGGCGCTGCGGGACCAACCCAGCAGCACCCCAGCTGCTCTGCCCCAGGCATCCCCAAGTCAGTCGCTGCTGAAACTGACCAGCGGCTGACTCGGGGAAGCTGGGGGCAAAGCAGCTCCAATTGTCTGGCTGCCTGGAGCACTTCCGGGTTCCAGATGGTGCTGGACCATCAGGAGAGCTGGACCATTGGATGCCAGACCACTGGAGTTTTACTGTAGGATGTCTGACTATGTTATAAGTTGACATTGCTGCTTTGGAAGCTTTGGGAATTTCAGGGAATGAACTGAGCCTGGCATCAATCTCAATTTTTTAAATTCTTCAAAGCAACCATGATATTTTATCTCCCTGGTAGATACTCATATGCAAATTGGAAGCCTAACTTGGTCCTGGAACAGCTAACATAGTAATCTTTTGAGACCATGTCTCCCTCAACTTTGCTATTCCTTGCAATTAAAATGGTCTTTTTGATTGCAATCACTTGCACCAGAAACGGAACTATGCCCTTCGGGAAGTCAGATGCTTTGTTTATCTCATTTGCCATGAAAAGAATTAAGATCTCAAAACATCTATGAAAACCATCCACAAGTGGGCTACAGCTGCTATTTCAGAAACCCATAAAACTACAAGTCTTATTTCTCAGAGCACAGAACTCAGATGTTGCATTTAGTTGATGGGTCCCTACGGTCTGCCATTCCCTCAAACAATTATTATTCTGCTCTTCTGCCTCTCTTTTCTGGATAGACTGCTTGGTATTTCCTATCAGTTGACCTCCAGACTACAGAATACTGTGTGTATAGAGTTCTAAAGGAAAGGAATCTGGAGTTACTGCAAACAGGTCTTTTCACAACAGAAGAACTTTTCCCTACCATCTATAAGTTGTTTGTGTTCATTTCTAGTTAGTTCATGGTTCAAGCTGGCACCCTATATATGAGAAACATTCTATTCCATTACCAATCTTCTGACCCATCTAACACACACATTCTTTTCTTCCTTTAAAAAAAACAAAAACAAAAAACAAAACCACACACACACACACACCTCGGAAGCTACACTCCATTTCAGAAGCTTTCTTCTGAGGAAAAAGGATTTGACAAGATATGAGAGCAATATTGTAACTCTACATGTCAAGGCCGTAAAGAACTGGGAGTTATAGCTCTTTATAACAGCAAGAACACAGAATCTTTTTAGACAGTAGAAGCAACTAACAATATGTCTTTCTAGAGTTTGCCCATGGCCTTTGCTGTTAAGTATTAGAGCGGGGAAGGCAATAATTTTTAATGGGGGGGCGGCTACTCCTAGAGTCAAGGGCTGCACTTTTCTATGATATTAATGGAGGAAATTCAGGGTCTGGGATAGAAGTTGGGAGGCAGAAAGGAGTTCAGGATACGGGATTGGGGTGCAGGAGAGGATTTGGGTTCTGGAAAGGAGTTTGGGTGAAGGAGGGGGTTATGACCTGGGGCAAGGAATTAAGGTGCAGGAGGGAGTTTGTGTGCAAGAGTGGATGCTGACCTGTAGGATGGGTGAAGGAGGGGGTGCAGGATCTGGGAGGGAGCTGTGACCAGGGGCAAAGGTGTAGAAGGAGGTGCAAAGGGTTTATGTTGTGAGCTGGGGCAGGAAGTTGCGGGGAGGCAGGAAGTGGAGTGCCACGTATAGGCTCTGGCTGGGAGGCTCTTACCCTAGGCAGCTTCTAGCCAGAAGCCCAATGGGACCCTCAGGCAGGCTCCTTGCCTGCCACGCTCCCACGCTGCTCAAAGAGGCTGGTTGCTGAGGCCAGTGTGTGTGTCTCTGTGCAGCACACTCCATAAAAGGCAGAGGCTCCACAAGCTGCCTGGGCCCTCAAGCATAACTTAGGGTACGTCTAGACTACATGCCTCTGTCACCAGAGGCATGTAGATTAGGCTACCGGACATAGTAAAATGAAGCAGGAGGTTTACCTGGGTGGTCAACAAATACCTTTGATGTCGACACCCGCGCGTCCAGACTATCGCGCTGAGCCGACAAACAGCTGATCAGCTGTTTGTCGGCTCAGCGCGATAGTCTGGACGCGCGGGTGTCGACATCAAAGGTATTTGTTGACCACCCAGGTAAACCTCCTGCTTCATTTTCCTATGCCGGGTAGCCTAATCTACATGCCTCTGGCGACAGAGGCATGTAGTCTAGACGTACCCTTAGGCAGATCCTATTGGCCAGTTTCTGTATTATTTAGAGTCCTTTCTTTGGCTGATAAATATGTTTTTCACAGCACATAAGCAGCACCTAAAAGACAATTTCAATGACCAAAATATTGTGTGTCACTTCTCAGTACTGGCACAGCTGAGCTACAGCTTTATGGAGATATTTTTATCATTTTGTCATCTAACCTGGAGTATATGCTAGAGGTTATTCGGTTGGTAGCACATGTGCAGCTGCATTACTAATGAAAAATGGGTAAGAAATTCCTTCTCATCTTTGGAGTCCCTCCATACCAGGAAACACTCCTATACCCAATTCTATATTCCCTTCATCCCAGCAACCAATCTGCCTCCAGCTCTGCTCCTGCCTAAAAATAATTTTGCTATACAAAGCATTTCCAATCCACTCCTTACCAGCCATCCTCCATCCTTTTGTTTACTCTCTTTTCCAGTCCTAGCATGAAGGAATGGTCAAGAAAACTAGGGTTGACAGGTATCCGGCTTTGGCCTGGTATTGGACAGAGGCCGCAAGTTAAAAAAACCCAGAAAATACCGGACATATAAAATGTTTTTCTCTGACAGAAGGCCGCTTGGGACATTCTTTCCCTGTCACATCTGGCAGGAGTGGGGGGAATTTAAAGGCGCAGTGACTTTTTTTCCCCTCTCAACAAGTTTGGTTCTCCCCTTTTTTCCCCTCTCAACAGCTTTGGTCCCCCCATTTTTTTGCTCAACCATATTCAGTATTTTTTGTGAAATTATCTGGCAACCCTAGAGAAGACAACAGAGAGGAATGCCTACTGGGCTTGTGCTGCTCTAGACCTGCTGAGGCCCTCCTATGGAAGATGCTCTTATATGTTCTTATACTCCACACAATCCGCAGTGTAAAGTCCACTAATATCAGACATCAAAAGAAGAATATGTAATAAATATATAATTATAACTATGTATGTACAGGTTGAAACTCCGTAATCAGGATTGTCCTGATTCGGGAACACCCCTGGTCCGGCATTGTTGGCGTGACCTTGGGGGGTGCACTTATGGGGATAAGCCAGTGGTCAGATAGGGTCAGAAGTGTTGCCAGACTAGGGGACAAGAGAGTGGAGCCCTGGGTAGGGGCAGCAGAGCCGCCAGGAGGAGAGCGGAGCCCCTGGTCGCTAGGGTGGGGAAGGTGGCACCGGGGCTACTGACGGGAGCACAGAGCCCACTTTGGTGGCAGCAGAGCTTCTGGGAGGAGTGCAGAGCTCCTCCAGGCAGCAGCAGTGGAGCCACCAAGTAGAACCATTGGGCAGTAACAGAGCCTCCCAGATGACAGCGGAGTCAGTTGCTGCTGGTGGGAGCACAGAGCCCTGGGTGGCAGCGAAGCCACTAGTGAGAGAGTGGAGCCCCCATTAGGGGGAGGAGGAACTCCGGGCAGCAGCAGAGCCCCCAGCAGCAGTGGAGCCACGGGGGGAAAAGGCAGAACCCCCATCATACTAACTTCCCCTGGTCTGGGATCACTCAGGTCCTGAGGGTAAACAAGGAAGAGACAAATAGACACACAAAATTTTACCGATTTATTATTGTTTCAATGTCTTCTTGTCACATTCTGTGTCACTCAGTGGGAAAATACCTTTCCCTTTAGGACTCTGTTATTCCTACACTTTCTTTCTTTTCCCTCTCCATTTCTCTCCCATGATCCCTCTGTGTTCACACTCTGAATTTACGTCTCAAAAGAATAACCTATTACTATACATTTGATAGTACACTCCTATACATTTGATTTGCTAAAAACAAAACCTATTGAATAATGTTGACAATTAATTATTATCAGGTTGTAGAGGGGACATAACATTAAGGTAAATGGGGACAAGGAGTTCACCTGACAGTTATTCTTTCAGGCTGCCAGTAGACACCATGACATCAGTTACATTCAGTTCACATTTGGACATTTCTCTCTGAAGCCAAATGGGTTAGAAACTTACTTTTTAAAAAAAATAAAACTTACACTTTTCACAAGCAGGTCATGCAGGCCACAAATATATTATGCAGACCATGACACCCTAATATAGACATTATGTAGGTCAATGATGTGGTTACCTATGACAGATTGGGCCTCTCTGGTCAGGAACCTTCAAGCCCTGATCAGTCCCGAAAAAGGGGATTTGCCCGACAAGGCAAGGGCCCTTCCCTAATGCCCGTGCTGCCCCTGAGCTAGGATTTGAGTCCAGCCCTGCTGCTGTCCCAGCCCCCCCCAGGGATCTCTAGCTGACGCCAGCTCAGCTACTGCGGAGGACCAAAGCTCCATGGTCGGGGCTAGAATTCCCTGGCTGTGGAGTTCTGACTCCATTCTGGCACCAGTGGCCATGGAGAACTGCAGTTGCCTGGCTCCCTGGCTAATGAGGCCAGAATGGGTCTGGAGCTCCCCAGCCATTGATGCCAGAGCTCCCCTGTCACTGGGGACAGAGCTCCCCACCACGACACCCACCCCCACAACTTGGGATTCCCGGCTGAGTCACCATCCTCTCTCTCACGCTCCTGCCCCACCACCAGACCTCCCTGTTCATGGGCTCTGTGATCCAGGAACATCTGTGATCTGGATGTTGCCAGGAAAGTCCCAGTTTAGGGATGTACAACCTATGTTGATGGAGAATAGCCTCACGGGCCCCAACAACAAGCTAATCCTGCTAAATTGCTTGTTTGACTAAATACATATATACACATACATGCCCTAATGACAGGGTGTATTCTTTTAATTAAAAATTCAATTCACATACACACAATATGCATACCCATACCCACATTTGCATATGTTCTAAAAACAAAGAAGTCATACCTTTTTGCAGACTTGCTCAAAAGTAATCTCATCCCCAAGAGCAAACTTGGTTACTTGATCTGGTTTTATTTCCTGTGGAAGAAAAATGTTTACACAAGTCTGAAAAGAGTAAGTAATAACAGTACGTGATAATATTTACGCAGAAAATAAATCTTAGAAAGGTTCAGCAAATTTTGCCCACTCCTATTAATTTAAAGGAGACTTTAAAATTAGATTTATTTACTTCCAAAATATTGCCTTGTATATTTACAGCCTAATTTTTTCTAATCTGTGTATTTATATCATTACCCATCACAATAGTATCTGATTATAATTGAAGCCAAAGGAAGGTCTGAGTGAGTTCAGGCTGCAGGGTCAGGATCTTACTTTGAGAAATATTCAATTGCCTGAATTTGTCACTTAAAATAAAGGACTATGGGAGATTTCTAAATGCCCATTTAGTAGAGACTCAGAAGTCTCTCCAGTATATGTATGATTACAGTCCTGTAACTGAAGCGGAAAAGGAAAATTTCTTAGCTTCTTTCTTTCTTAGCTTACAGAAGAGGAATTCCAGGTATCATCTATGCAGGATTCTCACCCCAGAAGGGAAAATCCTGCACAAGGGATGTCAATGAGTAGTCGACTAGATGATTAACTGATAAGCCTAAGATTATTGGTTAATCTCGTTGACTACTCACATCACGCCCTCCACATTGCTGCCTCTATTAGAGATGGGAGCTGGGACTCCCCATGGACAAGGGCTGCTATCACCCTGTGCTGCTGCCTCTGTATCAAAGGCAGTAGCACGGGGCGGCAGGTAGCCAGTCTGCGAGGGGAGCTGGTTTTTACATTATGTCTCTGCATGGACCGGCTCCTCCTGCCACCCCGCGCTGCTACCTCTGTATCAGAGGTGTCAGGGGGCTCCCCGAAGTGGGGCCAGGAGTACACATGACTATCAAACAGTCATGTAACCAACAATATTTTGTGCGTTTACATGACTATTCAATATATGATAGCTAACATCCCTATCCTACACAGCAGATATCTTTAGAAAAATATATTTTAAACTAATTAACCACAATTAGAGCAGATGTATCTATTAAAAACACTATTGAATCCCTTACTAATCTTAGCTATTGAATATGAAAATTGCTATTTCAGAGCTTATATTGGCTTAATTTTGGACTTTTTTATGGGAAATGAAGAAAACAAATTACACTATAGAGTGTTAGCCGTGTGTCCATTTTAAAACAGAATTTGCATGACTAGATTACATGAGGACTAAGCAACTTCATACATATCTATAGTTTTAAAAATTATAATGCAAATCATTTTTAAGACCGATAAAGGAAGATGTTACCAGTTAGGCTCTAAGCTACTTATCTACAGGTCCTGCTTTGTTACTGGTGATACTAATGTTTGAGGAAAATAATTCATAAAACAGATATTCAACAAGACAGAAAGCTAGGAAGCAATTTAAACAGGACAAGGTAGAGTAAATTAGTCATGTGTTTGCAGTGTGCTATGGCAGTAACGAGACCAATGCAACTGTGGACTGTATAAGCAGGTGCACGGTGTTGCTGAGCAGGCAGATAGCAGACCCTTTGTCCATGTTGTACCCATTGCTGGAACACTGTTTAAATCAGGACACCTCATTAGAAGAAAAATTCCAGCAAAGGAGATCATAACAACCAGCATAATTAGTGGTTTAGAACAGTCGATTTATGCAGAAAGATTAAGAACTCTAGATGCACATTTTGCCATGTGATGACATAACCTACAAATATCTTAAAAGTGTGAACTTGGAGAGGGGCTCATTCTCCTCCTTGCTTACCGTCCAATGAGCATTTCAGTCCTGCTTTACTTTTTCCTAATTTCAGTTTTATATATCTTATCATGCTGCTCCCCATACCTAGTCTGCCTGTGCTCATCTGCCAGCCATTCTCATGCTACTTCCAGAAATCTCTCCTTAAATTAACCTTTCTAGGCAGTTCCTCTTCCTCCTTTATCATTAATAATCGATACACATACTCTTCTCTCACAATACTCTCCTGTGCTCATCTTATTTTGGAATGCATCTTATCTATAGCATCAAGTGCTGAGTAAAACATGTGTGCTTTACAATAATTAGTGAGTAGCAACTGCAGCACAGTAAAGTATAACCAAGAGTAAGGGGATGACATTAAGAAAGGGAAAATATGTTTGATATGAACGTTAGGAAGAAACCTCCTGACAGTGAAATCTATTAACTTCTAAAAGCATCGCCCAGAGACACTGGAAGAAACTCAATCACAAATCAACACATTTCAAGTCAGACTGAAAACACACTAATAAATGTACAATAGGAAACTATTTTGCACTGGCAGGTACACAGATTGGAGGCTCTAACAGGTCTTTTCATCCCATGATTCAGTTTTCAGTGACTTTTCAGATATTATACAGAGGAGAAAACTAGATACAATGGGTAAATGATGTAGCCACAATAATTCACGGGGCTAAGAATTCAGAGTTTGACTCCATGAAGAAGCTCCTTCTCTGTGCTAAATTATGGAAGCCATTTAATTGAAGCGGTCAAAAAGGCAAATAGGATGCTAGAAATTATTAAGAAAGGGAGAGAAAATAAGACAGAATATCTTACTACCCCTGTATAAAACTATGGTACACCCACATCTTGAATACTGTGTACAGATGTGGTCTCTCCACCTCAAAAAAGATATTTTGGCCTGGGAAAGGGTTCAGAAAAGGGCAACACAAATGATTAGGGGTTTGGAACGGGTCCCATATGAGGAGAGGTTAAAGCGACTGGGACTTTTCAGTTTAGAAAAGAGGAGACTGAGGGGGGATATGATAGAGGTATATAAAATCATGACTGGTGTGGCGAGGGTGGATAAAGAAAAGTTATTTATTAGTTCCCATAATAGAAGAACTAGAGGACACCAAATGAAATCAATGGGTAGCAGGTTTAAAACTAATAAGTGAAAGTTCTTCTTCACACAGCACATAGTCAACCTGTGGAACTCCTTGCCAGGGGACGCTGTGAAGGCTATAACTATAACAGAGTTTAAAGAGAAGCTAGATAATTTCATGGAGGCTAGGTCCATAAAAGGCTATTAGCCAGGGGATAGAAATGGTGTCCCTGGCCTCTGTTTGTCAGAGGCTGGAGAAGGGGAGAAATCACTTGATCGTTGTCTTCGGTCCACCCTCTCTGGGGCACCTGCTGTTGGCAGACAGGCTACTGGGCTAGATGGACCTTTGGTCTGACCCAGTACGGCTGTTCTTATGTCCATTTAGAAACCCTCCCCAGATATTTTAAGTGGTGATTTTTGCTTATCCTTGGAATTCAAATACACTAAATGGAGTATAAAGCTATAATGTACATTGCAAAAAGAATCTATACAAGGAATTAATGGTATAATCCTTACAACTATAAAAAATACAAGTAAAAACAGTTTAAAATGAGTTAGAGAGGTATACAGTGCGAGTGGTGCGGAAAGGTTAGCAAAAGTCAACAAAAATGACTAGCAGCACAGATGTTGCAGGCCTCTACCCTTACTCCAGGGGAGCTAGCAGAGTAGGCAGCCTTCACTTACCCCATATTAGTAAGGAGGCGAGAAGGATCAGTAGAGACAAGATTCAGATAAGCCTATGCTGATCTTTTCCACAATCCCCACAAACACATACTCCCTACTACTCCATGGAAGGCCAGAGGTATGGAACTGCAGAAACTACTACAAAAATCTTAATATAATTGTACTAATACGTGCTGGTGTTCCCAGTACTTCTTCCACTTGGTGCTCCAAGAACATAGTTTGACTCTAGTCTTGCTATTCAGGGTCCTTTTATTTGGCATACTGTAAAGCTACACTGAGTTGATCCAATTCAAAGGTAGAGGTGGGCATAGGGAATATTAATACCCAAAGTTAAACAGAAAATCTCTGCCTTCATGTACATGCCAACATGACATTGTACTTACTGTCTCACACACTAGCTGTTTTGGGATTGGTTTGGTCACTTAGTATGTGCTGCCCAGAGATTAGTTTCTACAGTCTATGAATGACTTGTCCTTTACCTCATCTTACGTTCCAGGCCATTTTCTTTTGGTGTTGACCCTTGCTGCTCGGAAATTTCCTGAACAGCCACTACAACAAGTAAGGCTGGAATACAAGTAAAATTCTTGAACCCCCTGGAGAAAAGCTTGCTACTGTCTATACATCCTCTTGGAAATGGGAGGTACCGACAATGGAATCTACCACAAGTCTTTTGCCATTCTAACAATCCAGTGTGATGCCTACGTAGGGGAAGGGGGATGAACACAGGAGAAGTTCCTATCTTGTCTCCCAGTGGAGAAGGCAAACATTCTTCAAAGGAGGGTCTATAGATTCTGCTGTGCTAGACCACTCCCTCATACTTCTACCTACTTAGGGGAAGTAGATTGTACCTCAACTGCTGTATGTGGCACTGTACTTTTGGTAACTGAAGACTTGTTAAGACTGTTGGCATTGTACCAATCAACAATGGGGATTTTGATTTAGGCCCACAAGCAGGTCACTGAGTTTCATGTCATAGGCCATACGGGCAAAACATCCTGTACTGTTGGTTAGTAAAACCCCCCAAAAAACTGGTGCCACTGAATGGCACAGAAATGCACATACAGATCTAGTTAACTGCTTACACTCTTTTCATAACTGTCCTATAAAGATTCAGAGGGGTAGCCGAGTAAATCTGTAACTGGAAAAACTTAAAAAACAACAAATAGTCTTGTAGCACCTGAGACACTAATAAAAGATGTAGATGGTATCATGAGCGTGGGTGGTACCCACAACAGCTCATGATACCTCCTACATATTTTGTTAGTCTCTAAGGTGCTGCAGGACTATTCATTGTTTTCTAAGTTTGTCCTATAAAGAGGCAGAATGTACATTGGCAACCCAACGGGAAAAGTTGCAAGCAGGAATAGATATAGTCCAGTAAAATACTCCTGCTATGGTACACATAAAGGGTTAATATTGTCTATTTAGATCTATAATAGAGACTAGGAACCGTTTAACTGGTTACCTGGTAAGCATTAACCCAATGAGTGATGCTTCCCAGTT